CTGGACTTTAGGACAATCAGGCACACCGAGGAGTGGTCTGTTTTTTCTGATTTTTAAATTATTTTTTTTTTGTCCCCCTTGCAGTGGTTGCTTGACGCAGGAGAAGATAGTTGCAGGATATGCAAAATGCTTCATCGTTATTGCCGATTACAGGTGAGAATGTTACTATTCATTATGTCTTTCTGCCCCATGGGAGGATTCGGGTGGTCCTGTGTCAGGCCATTATTGTTCTTCCAGTGGGTCAGGGGAGCAGAATAGGTGGAAATGAGCCTAATTCCCAGTGCTTCAGCAATTCAGTTCAGCTTTTTTTTTTTTTTCCCCTCTTGATTTTCAACCCCGCAGGCCTGCGTTAGGAGTCAGCAGAGCTTGTGGGGAAATGGCTGCTCTGGTCTTTGAGCTCGGTGATTGTCAGCATAGAATAAATTTCCCCTTCTGTACATACAGCCGTGGGGCTGTAGGAAAAACAACTTGTGTCTTGCTTGTCCAAAACATGTCAAAATAGAGCTTATGGGTGAATTTCGTGTATTAAACGGCTTCTTCCTCCACCTGCGCATGTGTGAACTGTCTGCTGTGCCCTCCAGGGCCTTACGCCTGAAGGGTTTGCAAGGGATAATGTTAATGGTGTTAGCAATGTCATGTCTGACCCTAATCCCGTGTCTTCAGGAAAAAATCAGAGAGCCTTGGGGAGCGATGGAAGAAGGGAATTCCTATCGAAGTCATCCCCATGGCTTACGTCCCCGTCACCAGAGCCCTGACCAAAAACTTCGGAGGCGCCGCGGAGCTGCGGATGGCTGTTAGCAAAGCGGTACGTGTCCCTGGTCAGCTCTGCTTCCCCAGAGGAGCCACCTGGATGTGGGCAAATGGAGGACCAGTGGTCTGGCCTTCCGTCTAATTAAATCTGGGCTTTCGCTCCCCTGAGTGGCATCTTGTGTAATTCCTCCTAATTATATTTTGGTTAATGAACGATGTGTTTGGGGGTCGGTGTTGCTCATGGAAAGCCTCTCTGGCTTACGTCTCCTAAAACAAGCATCCCTGAGCAGGGAGAGGAGGGATGGCCAGTCCTAGTCTGACCCGCGGCTCTGCGGGGGTGTTGGGGGGCTGGAGGGCAGTCTGCGCTGCCGAAGAGGGTGTTGAGTTGGGGGGATGCTCACACTCCATCCCAGGCTCCTCCTTCCCACACGGAGCCAGACTAAATTAAAACTGAAGCTGCTTTCTCTCTGCTGCCACTGTCCTAGCCTGACCTGGGCAGCAGGGCTTCGCCAGCTCACGTTGCGTGGCAAGGGAGAAGGAGGGCTGTCCGCAGTAACTAACGGCTGGAGTCCTGAAGGCTGAATACTTGTTTTTAACGTGTTTAATCCCAAGAGGCTCTAGGGCCTGCATTTGGGTGCCTGAGGAGAACAAACCCGTCGTTCTCTGTGGACTTGAGACCAGCCTCGCTTGGGGAATGCACATCAATGCTGCTCCAGAGCGAGCCGTGTCCTTGGAGGAGGCTGGTCTCTCCTGGCACGTGTGGTTGCACTCCCCGGTCAGCACTGCTGAAATGCCTTGTCCTCAGCCCCAGCTCTTTCTGCTCTGTTGAAAGGACCCAATTGCTCCTTCTTTTGGGCTTGAGGGAGTGCTGGACACGTCTGGGACGCTGGAGACCAGCAGTTCTTCCAACTCCAAAACTTCCCCATGGCATCCATCAGCATGCTCTCATCACTGGGGCAGAGGGGTCTTGCTTCGGCTTCAGTTGTCCCTAACAGTCTTTTTAGGACATTGATCTAGCTCTGCTCTTGTGAAAAGGATCCCCTGTTGCAGTGATGAAATGGCATCGTTGTTTCCAGCTTCTGCATGATTATCTGTGTGCAGGAGAATGAGGAACGAGCAGTTGCCTTGGGTGATGATTTTACTTACAGGTTTATTGTGGACTGTCCTGATTTACTTGCCTGATGACTCTAAACCGTTGCAGCGGGGATGGCTGGTCCCAATGAGGGCTGTGACAGTCCCGGGCTGGGATCGGTAGACAAGGGGCTCGTGGTGGTGACAAATGGGTTTGCTTCCCAGGGCCCCGTGGTGACAGACAACGGGAACTTCATCCTGGACTGGAAGTTTGACAGGGTTCATGAATGGAGTGAAGTGAACACCGCTATAAAAATGATACCAGGTATGTCTGGGATTTAAAAAAACCCAACCAAACCCAAAAGCTGGCTAAGGCTTGGTCCATGCTAGGTGACCCTGACCATGGGAGCTCTCCCCTGGACAGGAGGAAGTGTGTGTGTGTGTGTTTACTGCCCTCTTATGAGTCCCTACATTTGTTTCCACTTGAGAGATCTACCAGCTGAACTAGTACAACTGTAGGCACATGGCATTTCCATATAGTGGTGAAAACCTGGGGCGGTGCCAGGTGACTTGTGACACTGTTTAGAGTGTAGTAGTATTAGGCACGCCAGTCCTGTGCCCTTCCTTACTCTCCTTGTGCCCATTTAGAGAGGGACTTTTAACGGAAGCACTGGTGGATTCTGGAGGGAGGGTTCGCACTGGGTTACAGTATTTTCCAGAAGCTGCTTACAGCTCTGCATCTCGCTACCCGTTGTCCTGTGGGCTCACCTTGCTGTGCAAGAGAGAAGCGGTGGCTGATCTCACTATTTGCAAACGAAACAGCCTCTCTTCCAGGACTGCTGCCTTGCACGAGACCTGCTGCCCAGGCCAGAGCTGCTTCTGGACGATCCAGCTCTGCCCAGGGGCCGTGGCATGCTCTGGACTTCAGTGAAGCAGCAGATAGACTGGCTCAGCCACATCTGGGTATCTTTCTGGTTACCTTGGCAAAGGCTGCTCCTGCATCTGGTCAGCTTTTGAATACATGTTGTTCTATCTTTTATCTTTGAGTTTATCCCAGATGCCTGCCTGCCCCTGACGTCCGAAACACAACAGCCTTCACTGACTGCTCACGCGCTGTCAGAGCATGCAGGAACAGGCTGAGATCCTGTTGCACAAACCCCAACGTCCCCACAAAGCAGCACTATATTGTCCTGGCACCACAGTTAAAACACAAGGGCAGGCAGAGGCCGTAGGTGTAGGCCGAGTGAAGAGTTGCCGGTAACTTCCAGTTGCTTCTCTTCAGTGGCTTTGCTTCCCTCAGTGGTGCTTGTAAGTCTGATTTACTGAAAAGACACCCATTTTCTTTTCTCCTGCTCTAGGAGCAAACTGCTAGGATGCTACCTCTGCTTTGGCTTGTCCCGGTGTCATTGTGATCTGAATAATTACCTGGCACTTGCCCGCAGGTTCAGATCTTCGGCAGGAGCAGATCTAAACGAGCCAGTGACCAATCTAAATGAACTGGTGACAGCTGCTGGCCTGGGCTGTCCCTGGTGCAGCGCTCCATATCCTAGTGCGGTTGTTGCCTGTGGCTGTACAAATGTGTGTTATCATTAGAGCTGTTTCTGTGCAAGAAAGAGCGGCTGGTCACGCCATTTGCGAGCAAAGCGGCCTTTCTGCAAGGTCTCCTTCCTTGCATCTCTCTTGGTTGAGCGATGAACGGTAAATGATGGGACCCATTCCATCATGCTGGTGTGGAGATGGTCTCAGCGCCATTTGTTGCTCAGAAATGGACCTGCTAAGGGGCGAAGAGCATCTTCCCTACCCAGAAGTGGATGAAGAGAACTGTTAAAAGCCTAAATACAGTGGTGATAGCAGGGCTCTGGCCACCTTGCGCTTGTGGTAGCCCTTGTCCTCCATTTCTTTCGACCTTTCTGGCTTCTGGCTGAGGCTCAGTGATCACTGTGAAGTTAGGTGCACCCCATAACTAAATGCAACTAAAAGTACATTTGCAAACGGGCTGCAAATTGCAGAGGTAGCATCAGATCTGCTGTGTCTTAACTTTTGAACAAGTGTTATTCAGGTGTTCTCTGACAGGACAGTTTTTTTAGATGCATTTAAAGGCAAAGTAAGTAAACTTGGGGCTGTGTGTGGCTTCCTCTTGCTCCTGTGGGTCATCAGATGGTTGAAAATGCCATGCTCGTGATTGTGTTAGTGTAATGGTGGTGGTGAGAATGTCAGGGGGAGCTTTGGGAGTTGTTTCTTAATCTGGAGAGAGCTTCCTCTTGGCATGGCCACATGGAGAAGACTTTCTGGAAGCTCGCTGTGCAGCTGTAGCAACATCCCCCAGGTTGGGCACCTCTCTCCAAACCTCTGATTTAGTCATTGGTGCCTCTTAACGTAGTCAGAGCAGAGGATTCAAGCAGTGGGGTGGCTCTGGCATTAACCGGCAGGTGACCTGTCGTTCCCCAGGTGTGGTGGAGACGGGACTCTTCATCAACATGGCCGAGGTGGTGTACTTCGGCATGGAGGACGGCTCGGTCAGCGTGCGGGAGAAGCAGCCTCGCTGATGCCAGCCCGCTGCCTGCTCTGCTTCGCCTTGGGCCAGTCCAGTTCAGCTGTCGTAATGGTGCCAACCTGACGTTTTGCCTTAACGAGCAGCGGTTATCGCAGAAGACGGACGGGAAGTTGATCAGAATCCGCTGACGTGATACTGAATGTCTTTTTTTAAAAGCAAACAAAAAATTATATTCTATTTCTATATATATATTTTTACTTTACAGGAATGTTGTCTTTTTTAAAGAACCATTTAAACAAATTGCTTTAACGTTTTTATTTTACTTTCTAAGAAATACTTACCAAAAAGAATACTCCTTGTTTTGTGTTGATTTTTTTTTTTTTCTTTTTTTCTTTTTTTGAACAGAACTTGAACCCTTCTGGTTGCTCATAGTTCTTAGTGATTGAGGTCAGAAATAATACCCTAATGCATCACTCCTAACCACCCTGGCTGGGAGGGTGATGCATGTAACAGGAGCGCATCCAGTCGGGACCTGCTGATGCCTTATTTGGAACCTTTTTGGTTCGGTATTTTATGCCTTTTATTTTTCTATACCACTGTTTTTTAATAGTTCAGGATGTCTAGTTGTCCTCTGTGCACATGACAATTCTCTGAGCCTAGGGTGGTCTCTACATCCCTCTGTCTGGGACGTTAATAAGGCCTCTGGGCCTCTGTATGGAGGAGACGTTCATCTTTTGAGCCAAATTCTGCTCTCTATTAATTCAGTACCTCTGAGTAAAGTCTGCTCCTGTAGCTGGAGATGTTTGGGACTCTGTCCTTGTAAACTGAGAGCAGAACTGGGTCCTTGATGAAGTTTACAGAAGCATTATTTGAGCAGCTTAGGGCAGTGTGGTATACTGTTCAGTGGCAAATTATTTGATTTAGAATGAAGGTTAATTGTCACCCCTCGCAGCTGGTTGATTTGTGGAAGGGTAGAGCAGAACGCACAGGAAACAGGAGTCTTCCTGCCTAAATGTTCCACATGTAGCAGGAGAGAGACACTCGGTCAATACCTTGTTCTCTGGTGTATAGGTGCTTTGCATGGTTCTGATGTCAAAATGCAAGCCCTCTCTTTGTGTTGTAAACACTGAAATAAAGAGCTGTTATACCAGATTTGGTGGTAATTTGGTTCTTAAAGACCCTATTTTGTGGGCAATGGGGCAGATCGTTGTCAGACTAACCTCTGCTGTAGTTTTCTCCCTTACAACCGCCCTTCAGCCAGGCCAAATTCTCCTCTCTTCATTTTATTTCTTTTTGCTTAAGTTAAATACATTGTTTTGAATTAACCATATTATCTAATCAACCCTTGTTAGCTGCAGAGCTTGCATCCAGACTGTCTTAAATTTGCATGTCTAAAACCTGTGCATCTAAATACAGCTCCATTATTTACAAAAAGGAGCTGGTTTTACGACTTTAAACCTTCCTGCACATCTATTCTGTCGATTCTGAAGCATTTGCATTGAGCAAACTGACTGCCATCCAGCCCACAACTTGCTGGAAACACTGGACTATCTCTTCCCGCAAACCTGATGCTGCAGAAGCCGTTTGCAAAGCCCCAGTCCTTGCCATGGGCTGTTTTCAGATGGGTCTTGGGCTCCTAATGTAATCCTAGATAAACAGAGAGCAATGGAGCAAAGCTTTGTGCCCAAGCGCCTTCTCACTCAGCATGCTTCTGGAAATGAGATTAGCAGGAGTGAATGTTGCTGTTGACTCTGAAATCAAACAGCTCCTTCTCAAAAAGCCAATAAAACCATTACCACACCATTACCTTCTGTCCCTGGACCAGATGTGATCTCATTCAGTTTTTTGCTTAGCAGGGGCTTGTTAAAGCCAAGCCTGAAGGTGGCAGGTCTGATTCTTGAGCTTCTCTAGGCGCTTGGGATGCAGGCAGCACTGCTGGGTGATCTTGCAACAGATGTCCCTGCTGGGGTGGGACTTTCAGCCGGTCTTGGTCTGTGGGTTACGGGTACGGAGTTCACTGTGCTACAGAGATTCACAGAATGGTGGGGGTTGGAAGGGACCTCCGGCGATCACCTAGTCCAACCCCCCTGCTAAAGCAGGTTCACCTAGAGCAGGTGGAATTAAAATCTCTGGATGGAATTAAAATCCCTGAAGTGCTGGAGAAAATTCGGTGTCTGAACCAGTTCTGGAGGCTTCGTGCAGATTTCCCTCGTACAAGCTCCCCCAGCTCAGATTTGCAGTGTCAGTAGATGGATTTTTGAATTAAGGGGCTCTTCAGAATGGTCTGATCCTTTCCCTCAGAGGCTGCCAGGCTCCTTGACCTGTCATGACCATCCACATCTTCATCTGCCAGCACGTGTGGGGCCCATTTAGATGCGGTGCAGGGAGTCCATCCCTTCCCGAGGTGGCTTTGGCCTGCCGTGGCTCTGCCCTGTCACCGACACAGTCTGCTTACGCTGATGCTTAGCTGCCTAGCTGCAAGCGTGTTTGATGAAAATTAAGTGTACAGGCACCAGAGGTATTTCTAGTCCCTGGTCCTTGCTTTTCTAGACTATCACCATTATCATTATGTATGTTTTCTGGAGAGATGATGGTTTATAGGTGAGCACGCCATGGTAGACCTTCAGATAAGGGAGGGCAGGCACTGCAGGTGCTTCCCTGGGTAGGGGCAGTTCAGCTGTGGCCACACCAGTGGGCTGCTCCCAACAGCTCTTGGGCTCGAGTTCGTTGTGTTTAACACCTTGGCTGGTTTGCACTGTGGCATTTGCTTTGGACTTTCATCTTTCAAGGTGCTCTTCAAAAGAGGCTTAAGAAACGGGGCTGTTGGCTCCATCCCACCCTGCTCCCTTGCAGCTTGGGAAGAAGAGCAGGGACATATTTTTAGCAGATGGCATTAGAAAAAAAAAAAAAAAAAATCAAAAGCAGGTGGAAGGAGGTGTCCTTTTAAAGCCCAAGACAGGGTGGTGGTGGCTATTTAGGGTGCGTTCCCGCAGCGGGTCCTGTTACCCGACGCGAACTGTGGTGAGACGATGCACCCAGCCCCGGCCCGCCAACCCTGGCGTCGCCTTTTGGACCGTGCGCAGCGGGTAATGCACAACTGATTTACCATTAGCGCTGAATTATGGATTAACTTGGCCCTGGAGAAAACAAATGTTTCAAGAAAGAGCAACAGCAGCACTAAAATTAATGAACAAGGGAGGTAATGAAACACTAGTCCCCTTCCAAAAAAAAATAAGCAATATAAACACAGTAAGAGAGTGCTTGAGATTCAATTTAATTAACCTTTGGTTAATAGGTTAAATAATTAAGCTGAATTAATTAAACTATGCAGAGTGAAATTAAGTGTTTAGTTAAACTGAATCACCTTGTCCCACGTTATAAAGCAAGTGCTACTGTCTATCAGGTTTTTATTATTGTCACTGTAGGATGGGATTTATGATCTGACATAATTATTGTTCTGAGAAATGTGACATAAAAAGAGATGAAAATAATTAAGCAGGCAGCACAGAGGATGTGTGCCCTCTGTAACCAAACGATTATAGCCAAAGTGGTAAGGAGAAAATAAGCACATTATAACCGGTGATAAAAATGAACTGTAATGGATATTAGGAAGCCATAATGGCTATTAATATATTTTAAACATAAAGCCAGATCCATTCTGTAGCCAGGTGGATTTCACCAAAAATTATATAGTGGTGTTGGTTTTGGTCCAGCTGCACGAGGGAAGAAGGAAGAAAAGGAAAGAAGTCCTCGTTTTCAGAGTGATTGTTCAAATCTATCAAGCCTCGTGAATTCTCCAAAATCTCTTTGCGGTTTTATTTTACTCGGTACATCAGCAAAAAGGGGATGCGTTTCGGCTTGAAGATGAACTTAAAGACCTATAAACTGCCATTTTTTTGTACCTAAAACTTCTAAAGTTTATTAATTTCCCCTTCCAGTAACTTTAATGGGATTTGTATCATCCCTGTATCTCCGTAAGCCACCAGCATCAGAAGAGATAAAAAGCCCCTATATAATTACAGAACTTGACAGATCTGCTATTTAGGTATCTTGAATCTCGTGCGGGATTTATCTCCTGACAGGGCGCTATAAATCACCATGAAATTCCCTAATGAAAATTTTTCTGAAGAGTCTTTGTAACGTCATCTCTGTAAGAAAACTGATGCCAGATATTTATTGTTTTCAGTTCGGTTGACTTTCCTGTTTGTATTTTTACAGCTACTGACACAAACGTCTTTTAAACTTCCTTAATTACACTTACAGCCTTGTGAAAATAGTGTCAGATCATCGAGGTAAGTGTAGTGAGCAAAACAGTAAAGGATCAGTGACTTGAGCTTGAATATAAGAAATTACAGAAACTACTTTTTCAGTGAAAAAAGAAAAGGCTTGGTACAAGAATGTCTTAGTTAAGTTTTCCAACATAAATCATCAATCATGTTGGCAAGTTAAATGCTGCTGATGATTTATGTTGTTTCTGGAAGTCAGTAGCAGAAAAATGAAATTCAGTGGAAGAAAAAGAAGTGACTATTAAGCCAACCATCTCATATCTGTAAACCTCTCTACACTTTAATATTCCAGTTCACTTCGGGTGTTGAATTCAGAATATTCTTAAACACACTAAATTCAACGTTTGTCTCATGCTGTACTGTTAAAAATATGGGCACATAAATTTGATCATGACAAAAAAAAATCACAGAAGCCAAAGTGCCTGCTAACTGGAATGGTCCTTTTATTGTGCACCAAACTAAATTCCCTCATGGTGGTCTTCCAATGCAGGATTAATGAAAGAAATACTAACATCAAGTATCCTTTCTACTTAGGAATGTCTCACAGGTTTGAGTAATCTCTTGCTGAAGCTATTACTGGAATGCCTTATAGATCAAAATCATTAATTAAAGATGAATTCCCTTAAAACTTTTTCAAAGCCTTAATTTCAGTAGCTTATAAATTATTTGCCTGCCACAGCGCACTGTTTTCTTGTAATCAGTATTTAATAACCTGTACAGTTTAATCCCAACGTAATGTATCTGACAGTGATAAATTAAATTGAAAAACCCTGCTGTAAATCTAGATGGTACACTGTGATGCTTTTTTTACTGTCTTAATTCCTTGCTGAAGAAAGACAGTCTTGCATTCCTCTAATCCTGACGTGAGTGGTTTTTTTTCGAAGGGGAGATTATCGTTCTCTTCTTTCCTTTTATATATAGCTTAGTGACGGCTGGACCAGATCAGTGAAGAGTCAAATCCAACAGCTTGTAACTCATGTACCAAAATCTTGTATAGTTGAAGAGCAAGCAGATATTCACTGCTTCTCTCTACTGAGATGGTCACGTGGCTTCAGGATATGATC